GGAAACGATAAATTTTAATGATGTGTCCCTAGGTCAGGTAAAAAGATCATATGTACGCCAATAAGCAGCATAAAAATGACGATTTTGAATAGCAATGTAGTGACTCAAACTTAATCTCTACCAAATTTATCCTCTAATCTGCCTGACAACCAGACTTGATTCATTTACAGTGTCAGCTGATACTAAATGTAATACTCTCCACAGAAGGCCGTTACCATAGCTCTAGCACTCTCAGTAAAGTGCCTAAACCTCATCAGTGAATCCACCAGTCTGACTCCTCAGTCAAAACTGGTTCGACTGTCCATCATCAATAAGAAGCCGACTTGTATATCCCACTAATATTTAGCAATATGTAAGAGTAATATGTACCGTAAGTCACATAAACTGACGAATGATAGTTAAATTATTCCGCAATGTGATGAATAGGCTCCAAATTACCAGTGTGGTTCACATAGACTTGCTTTCCAAAACGGATTATCGTCCAGGTTGGACCGCAGTTTCGAACTTGTCTAAGCTTCATTACCATCCTTAACGGAATCCGATATCGAGTAGTAGCGAAAAGTCTCATTACGTTACCATTACGCCAAACAGTCATATGTGTCTCTAGGTCACATGGCATTCATGAATTACAAGAAAGGCCAGGACTTTCCCATTTAACATTATTGTAGTGGGATTTGCCAATGCAATCGATTAGGTTACTTATATTCGTATTAAATATGTCTAGAAACTACCAAAGGATGTTAATTAAGGGCCATATTCACCATGTATCGCGTATGATGAAGGATTGATAGTTAAATTTTCCCAGAAAGATGTGAGTAGACCCATGATTCCAAAGAATTCAATTTACCATAATTGCTCAAAAGGTATTCTCGCCAAGGCTAGACTGCAATTTAACCTCGCCTGGGTCTCATCAGTACTGCCAAGAGAAATCGAACCTGTATAGTTTAGCCTATAATTTCCACATATCCCCATCACGCAACGTTGACAGGAGTGCCCGTTGGTCAAAGAGAAAACGAGAATTTTAAGGAAAGCCAGGCCTCTTTCATATAACATTTATAGTAATGATGTCCATAAGACAAACTTGTATTTTGTAGAAAAACTGTGTTTAGAACATGAAACTTGTATTTTGCCAATCGAATATGTTACTTATAGTAATGGAAAGTCGTTTTTAAGACGAGCAGTAAATCCTTATTAGGGTCCTGCTCTGAACTCGTATCAATATGGCCTAGTTGCAGCATGTCAAAATTTTGCTCTGCATTATTGGGGTTCGATTCCCGTTAAGGGTGCTGATGAGACTAAGGCGAGGTCGAAATTACTTTCCATCCTGGATGGAAATACCTTTTTGGAAGCAAAGCTAAATAAAATTCAGTGAAAACGTGAGGCCAACTCATATTATATCACCCTATGCGATCTATGGTGACTAGAGCTAGTATTCAAGCCCCAAAACCTATTTCCTATGAGCATCTATAATAACTGCTTTTCGAATCAATTCCACAATAAACATTTCGATTTGCTGAAAAATTATAATCATTTATGTATATAAATACCGTTGATGTAACTTGTAGCAGAGAGCAAAGCTTATGCAAGGACCATGTCAAATTCTCAAATCTTAAAGTTGCACTTAGGACTTAATTGAGCTCTTTGTCACTAAGACTGAGACCATCCTCATCAAGAATGACTATACGTCAAAAATAATCCATTTTTTTATTCTGCGATCTAGTCAGACTCTTTAAATTTATTCTATATGGTCACCTCGATTTGAATTACTCAAGGATTTAATCTTCGCAATGAGTATAGCTAAGTGTAGAAGTAGGACTTTCATTAGTGGTCCAGCATGTGAACTAACATAGATTCTTGTTATGATTAGACAAGAAGTTGTCATTTTGGTTGAAAATGTAGAAACCAACGAGTGTCAGCTAAAGTTGATATTAATAAATGAGTGAATCAGAGACAAAATGGAGAGGCAGGTGCAGCAAACATTGACTCCAACTCAAATTATGCAATTACCTTATTACATAAGCATGAAATATAAGTAAATATTGGTGCAATGTGGCTTGTGATGAGATAGGAATATGCCATAGCAAATTTCAAGCCACATTTTCATTACCTGAAGTCCACAGTAAACAAGATCACCATGCCCCGGAACATGATATGGACCTCGGCCAGAACCTTCTGCAGCCTCCTCTGTAGCAGCCCTGAAGAGGGCCCAGTTGAGGTCAAACAAATTCAGTTGGCTAATGGCGTTGGCAAGGGCATGTTCTTCCAGAAGGGGCAAAGGGGGTTGCGAAGATTGCGTTATGGTGCAAGTAATAGGCGGTAGCATTTCTACATCAACTAGGGAAAAAACAGCATAGTATAGACTAGTAGCGCGGACTTTGGCTCCAAACTGAAAATAGGGAAGAGACAAAAATAAAAAGGTTCAATTAATTGAAATAAATATTTGAAATAAAATCAGCAACATTCACCATATAATGCTATACTGCAATAGACGGGATTAGTCTGGAAAAAATTAGACCAGACTAAATGACACGAAACCAAATTATACTTGACGGGGATAGACTAGGCTAAACTACTCTATAGTGATGTGCTATTACCAAAATGAAAATTGATATACATGTTGTTGCGCTTGCGAATGACTTGCCTGTGTCTCAACGATACGATGCAGCTGTTGAAGGGCTAGTGATTGCTCGTCGTCGAGGCAAGTGAACACGACGATAACGCTACCTGGAGGGAAGAAGTCGAAATGCATTGTGTCCTTTGCCTCATGTCTTTCGAAATGCACCATCTGGCTCTCAAATGGCTCGACATCTTTTCGGCATTGGCAGCAAACAAGAGTCTCCATGCCATTGATAAACTAATAAATATGATAGCATAAAATAAAATAATTCGGAATAAGGATTCTTTTTAAGTCTTAATTTAAATAATTATTTGAAACATAGTGAAGACAATAGCTTTAGTAGAAGGTATTAAGCTTACATACTGTAAAGAATAAGTGTTCTTGAATAAGAATTTAGTCACAAAAGATCACTTAAGGTGATTTAATGACTGAAAGTTGAGTTTTCCCACAAATAGATGATGGTCTCAGAAACTACAAAAATGAAACAGTGAATTGGCCAAGCAAAACTCATATCAAATAAAAAATAAGAATACTTAGTTATGAAGGCCAGCAAGGATCGTTGGCGCAGATAAGGATGGGGCAAGCAAAAGGCGTGCATATAAATCGGAAAAAATCATTAAAAATATTATTTAATTATATAAAGAACGCATAATTACCTCCTTCTTCTGGCAGTATATCTCCCTGGGGTGGCGACCTCCCGGTGTCTGACAAACAACATTCGCCTCCAATGCGATTCGCTTGGCACGGCCGTTCAGGTCCAGTGGACGAACGTAGCGGTGGCAAGGGCTAGCACCAGGATCAGAGAAGGCGGTGTGAGCTACCAGCACCATAGACTCGCAAGTATCAGGACAGAAGCGAGTGACAGCGACCACAGAATGGTCCAACTTATTGTATATCGAAATCAAGATAAGGTTCAAAAAAGGAAAAAAATAATGGAGCTTAAGAGTAAAGAATGCGTGAGTAAATACAGCATAATACACCACGTTTGTCAAATATTGCTAAACAGATGTTGAGAGTTAGTTTGACCCGTTTTTACTAATTCGAATAGCATCATGTACTACGTTCTCCGCCACAGATGTCATGCATTCTTCCAAAATCGGACCATTCTATAAGTGAGCTCCCAGTCTCAGTGGCGCCGTAAGCTGCATCGTCAGTGATCAGAGCAAGCCTCATCACCATTATTACTTATTATATATATATATATATATTTAATGACAAGGTGAATGTGACTATGCCCCAATAGGCCCAATAACGTGGTGCACCCA